TGCAGTTTGAAAATATTTTTTTTAAAGAAACAAACCTACAAATATATATTTTCATGATGTACTTATAAGAATGGGCCACTAGAGGGAGCCAGAGGACATGCCATGTATTCTTCTTGTCTTGGGTTTTCCACATCCGCAGGGGGTGGGGCTTAGAATCAATCCCCTGAATATACTTTACAGTGGTGCCTCGCTTTACGATTGCCTTGTTAAATGACACCGCTATATGATGACTGTTTTGCGATCACAAAACGATGTTTTAATAGGCAAAATTCACTTCCCGACGATCGGTTCCCTGCTTCAGGAACCGATTTTGCGCTAGACAATGTTTTTAAAACAGCTGATCGGTGGCTTCAGAATGGCTGCCCGCTGTGTAAAATGGCTCCCCGCTGTGTTTTTGGATGGATTCCTCGCTTTACAGGCACCGAAAATGGCCGCCCCTATGGAGGATCTTCGCTGGACGGTGAGTTTTCAGCTCATTGGAACGTGTCGAACAGGTTTTCAGTGCGTTTCAATAGGATTTTTTATTTCGCTTAACGAGGATTTCGCTCTACAGCGAGTTCGCTAGAGTGGATTATCCTCGCTAAGCAAGGCACCACTGTATTTCTCTTGTCTTTGTATCTGATGAAGTGGGTCTAGAAAAGCTTATCCGAAAGCCTGAGTCTTTAAGGAGCCTCAAGGCTCCTGTTAACTGTTTTTTAAAAAAATATTCTAAGTGGCAGAAGGCTGGATGAGTTAATTACCACACTTGCAGACATGTGGCCAGGAAGGACCAAAGTCTGATTACCCTGAGACAGTGACTTATTCAGGCAGCAGGAGAAAAAATATATATATTAAGTTGAAATGTTGAGTTAAACCAGTGGTTCTCAAACTGGGGTCCCCAGATGTTCTTGGACTAAAACTCCCAGAAGCTTCCACCGCTTGCTGGGCTGGCCAGGATTTCTGGGAGTTGTAGTCCAAGAACCTCTGGGGACCCAAAGGTTGGAATCCAGTGAGCTAAACATTCATGTTTCAGCCATGGCTGGCCGGCTGTTGTTTTTCCCTAAGGCAACAGCAGGGGAAAGAGGGAACAGCTTAGAGGGGCTGGCCAGCAGGATGTGAGCCCACGGAGAGTGGTGGGGGTTGAATACGATCCTCGCAAGAGACTCTGCCATGGTTTCTGTGACACGGGGGGAGGGGGATAAGCATTTTTTGGATTGTCCTTGTATATCAAAATGGTCTCGTTCGCACCCTCTCCAGCGGCGGACTTTTTAGACTTAATAGGACCATCAGCTAGTAAAGCTGGAAAGGGTGATGTGTACTGAGACCGGGCGAAGCAGGAAATCCATCGCTGAAGCATTTGTAACACCCGGCCGCCCGAGCCTGCCTTGGAAAGCTGTCACTCCACCGCCTTCCAAGGTGGCCAGACTGCTCTTGTCAGGAAGTTCCTCCTAATATTTGGTTGACCTTCCTCCTCAGTTGGGACCCATAGCTTTGAGCTCTGCTCTCGAGCAGCAGGAAATCAACCCCCCCATCATCTTCCTTGTGACAGTTATGAACACATTAAACATGCCAGAGCTCTGGGTCTTTTCCCCAAAGGAAATAAAAGTTCTCCACAATGTACTCTGCCGAGTTGTGTTTATTTCTCACCTTGATGCTCTCTTGACCAAGAGTTTGGACCTTCTTGGCCCATTTCCCACCCCCCATGGCAAGCTCTGGATCTTCTCTGGACAAAGTTATCCTCATGGAGCAATCGGTACTATGGTAAAAAGGGTTTATCTGATCTGATCCTTTCCTCTTCCCAAGAGGGATATTTTTCTGTTAGTCTTTTCTTTCATGGGCAGAGTTTTGCTCTTCCACTCCTGCTGTGGAGAGTCAATCTAGGCCAGGCTTGTCCAACCTCAGCCCTCCAGATGTTCTTGGACTTCAACTCCCAGAAGCCTTCATCACCACCTCTGCCGGCCAGGATTTCTGGGAGTTGAAGTCCAAGAACATCTGGAGGGCCAAGGTTGGACAAGCCTGATCTAGGCGGTACACAATTAGAAGCCATTTAATTTGTTGTTAGGTCGCTTCTGACTTAGAGCGACCCTGTAAGAGTTTTCAAGGTACGTGAGATGCTCAAGGCTGAACGTTGTCACCACCCCGTAAGTTTCCATGGCCAAAGAGGGATTTGAACTGGGATCTCTTGAGCTGCCTTGTGGCACACTATTTCTGGGCTACTTTGCCACAGAATTTTTGATTCTCTTACCAAGCGGTCCATCTGGTCAGGTCCTGATTTTATGCTCAAAGCCCTGAACAAGTTAAAGGGGGTATAAATTTTAATTTGGAGAAAGAAAGAAATATAGCCTTACGGTGTGACTCCCAAGTGTGTTTACTCAGAAGTAGTCCCATACATGGGGATTGATTCAATAAAATTTCAGTTTGCACCACAAGAGGGACGTGGTGGCGCTGCGGGCTAAACCGCAGAAGCCTGTGCTGCAGGGTCAGAAGACCAAGCAGTCGTAAGATCGAATCCACGCGACGGAGTGAGCGTCCGTCGCTTGTCCCAGCTCCCGCCAACCTAGCGGTTCGAAAGCATGCAAAATGCAAGTAGATAAATAGGGACCACCTCGGTGGGAAGGTAACAGCATTCCGTGTCTAAGTCGCACTGGCCATGTGACCACTGTCTTCGGACAAAAACGCTGGCTCTATGGCTTGGAAATGGGGATGAGCACCGCCCCCTAGAGACGAACACGACTGGACAAAAATTGTCAAGGGGGACCTTTACCTTTAACTTTTATTGCACCACAAGAGGGAGTTTTGGTGACTATTCTGTCCCCATTAAGGAATAGCATACAACTTGATTTTCAAGTAAATGTATACGTGATTGTACTGTATATGATCCTCCAATGCAATAAATAATTTTTAGTTTATGATGAACAATGTTTTAGCCTGAAAATTGCAGGGGTGTAGTTTGTTCATGTGGCTTAGAGTGAGTCCATCAATGACTACTCAGGATAACACTATAGAACTTCCCTCTTCAATGGCAGTATATCTTTGTGACTTTAAAAGGAAGATCTCTATAGCTGAACACAACCTGAGAGATCGCTCAGTGGTTTAGATATCTAGCTGATGATACATAATGCTGAACAATCTTTCTTTGACAATCTTTGAAAAATTTCAATATTTTCTGATCGGCCAGGATCCAATGGTTGTTGAGACTGGCGAAACGTTAGGAAGAAAAACCTCAAGAACACAGCCAGAGAGCCTGAAAAACCTACAACAACCATCTTATTATGTAATTTCAAATACATACCAAAAAAGGCTATTTTATGATTATTGATGAGCAGAGCTGGGTGACTTATGGTCTTCCTGGTTTTATTAGACTTCAACTCCCAGCATGCTTGACTGGTGGCTATGCTGTCTGATGCAAGTTGTAGGTTAAAACAACATCTGGAAGGCTACAAGTTAGCAAGAAGCCTGTGAGGAAATAGCAATATTTAGCCCAGGGTGACCTTGTTCATTTTACCAGAAAGCATGTTATTCCCAACACAGGAGCGTTGAGGTATTTAGTCTTGAATATATAGTGGAAGTGCTTTATTAGCACTGCGGTGTTTGGGGCAAAAATGCTAATGCTTGTATGAGCTGGAGAAATAATACTGGCATCCAAACCTGAATTGTTAAAATATAATGCATGTACAAAACAGGAGATTCTAATTTTGAAAATAAATGTTGAAATTTTCTTTTTGAGGTGCAGTTGGGCCTTATTCTATTGCATGTTTTCTTCCTGTGTTCTCCCTAAATGGGACTTTGAAAACACCCTCCCTCTTATCAGGTGTTTTAAGGGCCAAACTAGATAAGCTGCTGATCCTGTGTCTAGAAGGAGTGCTCCATTCAGTGGGAAAGGCCACATGAAGAAAAATGGGAGGAAACAAACTTAGTCAAGTATTTTAGTTTCCTGTACTTGTTTTTTTTTAAATAATGAACGCCTGGGAATGCCACCCCTGCAAAGCAAGCTCAAACCACTCGGAGAAGCATTAGAAAATGCAAATGCTATTTAGACTAGACTCTTTTATTGCTGTTATTCCGATAATGTAACATTTAATCTACTACCATGTTCTTCATGTTATTTGATTTGATTTTTAGTTTATTTTATGGTATTTCTGCTTTGCACCTTTATATTTTATAGATGTTGGGTTTTTTTGTGATTATGTTTGTTTAGTTGTGGGTTTTTTTGTGATTATGTTGTTGTTGTTTAGTTGTAAACCGTCCAGAGTGACTTTGGCTGCCAGATGGGTGGTATAGAAATCAATCAATTAAACAAACAAACAAACAAAATGTACAAGGCTAGCAAATCATTTCCCATTTATGCCATCCCTCATCCAGGTCAGTTTTTGGGTCTCTTGGCTTGCTTTTTTGCACCTCACCTGGCAGACCGTCTTTCCCCCTTATTCAGCTCTGAAGTAAATGTAGAAACATTTTTTTGGAAGAAGACTACAACTCCCAGAATCCCCCATCCAGCATGCTAGGTTTTCAAACTCTGTTCTAGAGATCTAAAACTGGGACGTAGCTGAAAAGAGTTTTCTATATCTAACAGGGTAAAGGGAGGGACTACAACTCCCAGAATCCTTCGTTACTTTTTTTGGGAGACTACACGCTTCAGAATCGCCGCCTCCGCTTCCAGCCAGGATGTTAACCTTTGAGGGACAACTCCCAGCGCTATCTGGGGGATTATGGGAGTTGTAGCCCCTCCTAAGGAACCGTTCGCAAGCCCTGCGAAACGAAGGCATCTTCTTGGCCAGGCCGTTACACGAAATGCCCAACCCCCCGTAAGAGATTCAGTTCTGCACAAATTCCTCAGAGAGAACAACTTTCCGTCTGCCTTTGGGGACTCTAGGCGAGGGAGAAAAATAGGAAAAGGGCCCCTTCCAGCATGCCTCGAAGGGTTAACACCACCGAGCCTTCGCCCCCTAGAGAGGGCAAGAGCAGCCTGTGTAGCCAACATCCCCTTCCGGCCTTCCCCCTCACCCGGTGAAAAAGGGGCCTGTTTCTCCCACTACTGTACTCCGAAGGCATCAAGAGGTTTCCCTCTCACGGTTTTGGTGAGCGTCTGGAGGATCTCCGTGCAGGGATGGAAGGAGGGGTTCCGGTTGGAAAGAATATCCAAAGCAGGAAATAAATAAGCAAGCGAGAGTACCTTTAAAAAAAAGGGAATTTGGGATTTTGCCACTATTTTAGGGCCCATGATCCCTCCCTCCCCCATATTCTATATAATAAAAATCATTTGCCGTCAGGTCAATTCTATTTATTTATTTGTATTTATTTATTCATTTATTAAATTTATATCCCACCCCTCTAGACCATGTCTATTCGGACCAATTCTGACTTAGGGTGACCCCTTTTCAGGGTTTTCCAAACAGAGAGCACTCGGAAGGGGTTTCCCTTTCTTGTTCTGGGACTCTCCGGCTTGCCCAAGGCCACCCAGGCTGGCTCTTCTCCCAGGTGGCCCAATGGCGGGAATCGAACTCCCCACCTCTGGCTCTTCAGCCAGGGACCTCAACCACCGAGCGATCCATATATTCTAGACCGCTTCCTTTTATCAGTTTTCTCCCCTCTCCTCATAACTGGTGGATTTGTGTTCTAGGCGAAACGAGAGAAAGGAAAAAAGGAGGTCTGGCAGAGAAGCCTCGTCATGCTAAAGGATGGTTAAAGTCAGAGGAAGAAGAGGTATTGGATGTTTAGGTTCAGGGATGGGGGACGTTGCTCGTATGTATCTCCCACCCACCCTTATAGAGTGTCCATCTAAATCTCGTTCTTATGTGTTACAGGGAGAAACCAGAAATCACTTAATGACCTCTTGGGTCAAGCATCTTTTTGCTGGAGGAGCTAAACAGTGGCCGGTGGAAGGGCTGGCATTTCTCATTCACCACTATTCCTGCTATTCCTGTGATAAGAAAGAAACAGATCTTGGAGGCTGTTCTGGAACAGAAATCAATGATGGAAGAGCCGCATGCGGCTGGTTCTGATGCAGCCAGTGTTGGGGCTCTGAAGCCTGGGTCCTTCTGGGAAAATACAGTGCCAGAAAACCTGAGGAAGGCAGACTCTGGCAACACGGAAGAGCAGCGTTGGCATTTCGAGGGGTTCTCCTACCTGGAGGCCAAGGGACCCCGAGAGGTTTGCAGCCGACTCCATCGTTTGTGCCATCAGTGGCTCAAACCTGAAAGGCACACCAAGGCTCAGATCCTGGACCTGGTGATCCTGGAGCAGTTCCTGGTTGTCCTGCCCCCAGAGATGTCTAGCTGGGTGCGGGAATGTGGAGCAGAGACCACTTCTCAAGCGGTGGCCCTGGCTGAGGGTTTCCTCCTGAGCCAGGCAGAGGGGAAAAAACAAGGACAGAAACAGGTGAGACCATTTCTAATCCTTGGGCCAAGGGGCCCAATGAATTTTTTAGAAGGGCAGCTGAATCCTGTAACAGCTAGAGTCGGTGGCACTGCTTTACTGTCCCAAGATCAAATAGCTAACATTGGCAATAGTCTTTCTCCTAACATTTATTTAGTGTTCTTCTGTTTTATATAAAATTGTATAAATGACACAAAATAAAGTCAGAAGAATATTTATTATAATCAGCTCCAAGAAAGAAAGAAAGAAAGAAACTGTATTATCAATATTAATCACAAAATATTACTACAATACATTTAGTTGCTAGTGGTAAGCAAGGAGGAATTCTATGAAGAAATAAAAATAAGAGCATGTGTCAAATTAAGTGAAAACATCACATCATAAATGCATATGAGTATCAGATAATTATGATGAATAAACCCAATAGATGAAAACTAAGAACTTTTTAAAAAATTATGTTTCAGTATCTGCCTGCTTGACATTTAGGCTACTACCCAACCCGTTTGTTAATTCATTAAATGTTTGTATAGATATAAGATGTTTAGAAGCTGCTGGCTTGACAAGTTTCTCCTAATTTTTTTGTTTCGTATATTTACCTTTTTAAAAAAAGACCCAAATTTGCTTCTTCATTCAAATGGTTTTTAAAAGGAGCATTGGCGGCATGTGTCATTTAATACATTTTGCTGCTGCCCTCCACCATTTTTTGTAACATATCTCAGTGGTTTTGGTATCTGGCTATGGAGCCAGAGGTTGGGAGTT